TCACGACAGGTGCCCCACCACCCGCCCGAGGATGCGCCACTGGCGCGGCGGCGGCGGCGGAGGCGGCGCAGGCCCTGTGCGGCGTCTCGCGCCTTCCACTCCTCGCCCATCGGCTTTGCCAGCTCGGCGACTCCGAGCTCCGGGTGCGCCTCCTTGAGGGCGGCGCGGCGGGCGCCCTGGAAGTGGAAGTAGGACGAGACGTTCTTCTTCGGCCCCGCCGACTTGGCCTCCTTGCCCGCCTTCTTGGACTCCTTCTCCTGCGCCTTGCGCAGCTTCTCCTGCGGCGGCAGAGGGAGAGGAGGCCGGGGCGTTGGGGGGGCGGGGCGGCGGAGCCGCACAGTGGGAAAGGGAGGTGAAGGCGGCGGCGGCGAGGGCGGCGGCGGCGAGGGGTGGCCGTGTCGTGCGGGCGGCTGGGGCGAGGAGAGCAGGGAGTGAGACGAGGCGGCAGGCGGGCGGCGGTGAGGGCGCGGTACGCACTCACTGGCGGGTGTGCGTGTGGAGGGAGGGTGGGACCGGAGGGCGGCGGCGGACCTCCTCCGTGGCCGCCTTCTCCGCCGCCTTGGCCGCCTCCTTCTCAGCCTTCTCCTTGGTCGCCATCGTGCGGGCCGCCTTCTCGCGCTTCTTCTGCGGGGAGCAAGTTTGCGGGAGGTGTGGGAGGGCGGTGAGAGTGGGCGACGAGCAACAGGCGGGGCTGCCCGGGCGCGGGGCGGCTCGACGTGAGGGATGTGATGCAGGAGTGAGGGCGGCGGCAGGCGACGTGGGTGGTGGTGGAAGTCGTGTGGGCGGCGGTGGCGAGGGCGGAGCGGATGGCGCGGATGGGCGGCGGCGATGGGTGCTGCGCGCCTGCTCGGCGCGATCTTGCTTCTCGCACCGGGAGATGGGCAGGCTCTTGGCAGCGGCCGCCTTGCTGCCGGGCATCGGGCCGATGCTTCGAGGAGTCGCGGCGTCCGGTCGGTGCGAAGGGGTCGAGAGGAAGGACCACATGGTGCAAACACCTGCGCACGAGATGGAGGGGTCAGCGGTGCGCTCCGAGCCGAGGTGGAGTGCATCGCAGTCTCAAACTTGGATTGTTGCGCCGCCGCGGCCGCCCACTAGCCCCTACCCCCCCCACCCACCCATACTGCTAGCGCTGCAGAGACGTGAATCGCCAACACGGCGACGCACGTGACCGCACGTGGGGCAACGAGTGGGGGGCGGGGGGGGGGAGCCACCCTCTCGCGGTTGAGCGCCTGAAGGCGGGGACACGAGGCGCGTGAGCCGGCGGGATGGAGGCAAGTGTGCGGGAGTGGAAGTGTGCGGGAGTGGACGGCGGGAGTGGATGGCAGTTACCAAGCTTGGCTGGCGCCGGCGCCACGGGGATTGATTTCTTTCAGTTCGAACTTTGCGCTCTCGTGCCCGTAACCCGATGTGTGTGTGTGTGTGTGTGTGACCCGATGCCAATCATCCGGCCCGCTGGGTTTGCTTCTTAGCCCCCCGGCCCTGGGTGTGAGGTTGCCGACTGCACTCCAAGTGCTCCAAGTTTGGGAATTTGGTCGTCATAATCTCTCTCTCTCTCTCTCTCTCTCTCTCTCTCTCTCTCTCTCTCTCTCTGCCTCTCTCTCTCTCTCTCTCTCCCTCTCTCCCTCTCTCTCTGACCTGAGTGCAGGCCGGCGCTAAGAAACCACGGTCTCTCTTTCGCTACGTGTTTGACGACGTCAAACAGTGTTTGACCACGGCGCTGTTCACAGCGCGCGCGGACGGCAGTTCTGCGAGTCCCGCTCCGCAGGACTTTTGTAAAGCATGCTTGTGGCAAGTTACAGGCGCTAGTATCGACCTCAGAGACCCAAACACTAATTAATAATTGAGGCTCAAAGTATGGTCAAACAACCGTCAAACAAACAGGTCAAACAACGAAAAGAGACTAGTGCGACCGCTAGACGGCGGTCTCCGCCGGCCCCAAGGCTGCCCAGCCCCAGTACCACACCGGCCACCCACGTACACCGTGGCGCTGGAGTCGGTCAGTGAGGCACTAGACGGGCTACGGAACCATGCGCGCGCCGGCCGGACAGTGCTCAAACTTTACCGGTATGAGACTGGTATTTGGCGATATTTTGATTAGTTTTGGAGTGGTATGGTATAGTGGTATGCGAAAGTGGTATGCGGGGTTTTCAGTAGTTGTAGCGGCTGTCGGTGTGGTCCCGGGGGCGAAACCATGCAAAAGTGCGGGTATTACCCGGGTGTACCCGGGTTTTTACAGGTATACCCGCAAAATACCCTTGCCGATTTTGCCGATTTTGCCACCAAGAAGGCACTCCGACTCGCTTTGATTTCCGTGAGGCAACTGGTATCCCGTACCACTTTTTGATTAGTGCAAGGCCTTGGGTTTGATTAGCCAAAAACTCCCATACCGGTAAAGTTTGAGCACTGCGGCCGGACAGGCTGCGCGCAGGGGCCGCGCCGCCTCGATTTCGCACCTCCGCTCCGCGGCCGGCTGAGGGGCTAGCTCGCCCGGCGACAAGCCCAGCCATCGCCCAGCGCCCCGTATCGACGGGGGCACGCAAAAAAACCGCACCTACGACTAGGGTGAGCACGTGAGGGCGTCGGTGTGGGCCGCGGGCAGGCTGCCAGGAGGGCGCGGGTGGGAGCATGGGAGATGCACCACCTCTCGACGAAGACGCGCCCGACGAAGCCCTGCTAGCGGAGGATGGTCGATCCTCACCTACTAGCGTCGGGCGTGTGCGAAAAAAAGCGCAAATCGGACGGTCTCTCTTTCGCTACGTGTTCAACGACGTTGAACAGTGTTTGACCACGGCGCTGTTCACAGCGCGCGCGGACGGCAGTTCTGCGAGTCCCGCTCCGCAGGACTTTTGTAAAGCATGCTTGTGGCAAGTTACAGACGCTAGTATCGACCTCAGAGACCCTGGTGGCGAGTCCTGCCTCACCGCACCACACCCGGCGGCTCTCCTCACACTGTTGCACTGCTGACAGGTGAAGTTCTCAGTGTTCCACAGCGGGTCGCGCATCTTCCCGCACGCTGGCCCGACAAACGGGCGCCTGCGAGTCCACGTGTGCCTGTACGCG